ATTTATATTAGACCTCAGAGTCTTAAAGATTAGATCCCTCCCAACAAGGAATTAGGCACTAGATCCAAAAAATATGCAAAAGGTATTTTATTTATACCAGAAACGATTAGAAGATGTGATGCTTTTAAATGTGCCATTTATGGAGATCAACAAAGAAATTACCTAGGAATAATTTAGCAAGAAGTGTGTGGAACCTTCATGAAGAAAATTCTAAGACTTGAGAGTCACTTAAAAAGATCTAAATAAGTAAGCTATTTTTGTTCATAATTGGAATGATTCAATATTGTAGAAATGCCAATTCTCCAAGCTGTATAGAGACTTTACAACTCAAAAAATTTAATAGACTTCCTGGTGCAATCTAATAGGTAAATTACTATATATATATATATATATATATATATATATATATGAAAGAGCAAAAGACATAGAAGAACTAGGATGCTCCCAAAGAATACTAAGGTGAGGGGATTTACCCTACCATTTACAAAGGCTCATCATAGTTATTATTAGATGGTGACATTTCAAGTTGAGACAATGGAACAAAAAGAATACAGATACGAAGACCTCCACATACATGGAAATGTGATGTCTGTCAGAGGTGGCTTTGCTGTCAGAACAGAAAGACTATTTGGTTTGTAATACTGAACCAAGGAGCTATTATATGGAAAAATAGTAAAATTGAATTCATACACCATATCACACAAAAATTCTGGGTGGAAAAAAAGTGCAAAAAGCTGTAATGCTTTTAGAAATTAATGTTTTAAATGTCTTCATGACTTTTGACTATGGAGAAAATTCTTTAATGAAAAGCACAAATCAAAGAAAAAGACTCATAAATTAAGATCTCCCTTTTGAGCATATTGACATACACCTGTAATCCCATCTTCTTGGGAGGCTGAGGCAGGAGGGTTGCAAGTTCAAGGCCAGCCCGGACAATTTAGACCCTTTCTAATAATAAATAAAAAGTCTGGGATTGTAGCTCAGTAATAGAGCACTTGCTTAGTGAGTGTGAAGCCCTGGGTTCAGATTAGTTTTCTCTGTTGATCAAAGGCACCATCACTCACACACACATACACACAAACAACTAACAGATGGAGGGAAAATATTTGCAGCACAATCACAAAGAACTAGAATCCAGAATACATTTAAAACCGCCTAAAAATAATTTTTAAAAAATCAAATAGAAAGATGAACAAAAAGATGAACATTTCATAGAAAACTCACATAGTCAATAGTGATGCTCAACTGCAGAATGCAATGAAATAACATTTACACCAAGACTAATAAAAAAATTTTAAATCTGAAATTTTAAACCAATTTAAAATTTACATTAAGAACTTGTCAGCATACAGTGTCAGAAAAACTTTTGAAACATAAAATTAGGGTGTTCATGAGTATAATACTTTGGAAAAACAATTTGATAATACCCAGGAAAGGTGAAGATGGGCATAGCCTATGACTTGACCACTCCACTCTTAGATACACATCCTAAATTAATCGGCAACTTTGTGGATCAGGAGATGTGCACAAGGTGGTCAGTAAACACATTGACTGTAATGACAAATCCAGAAACCTCCCAAATGTCAACCTCAAAAAATGAATAAGTAAAAGCTGGGCTTCCTAGCAAGCACTTAGACAGTTCAGTATGTGTTTACATGCTGTCCTTAGTAGGTTGGGATTATGACCTGCAGAAGGAAGGATTAGGAAGCAGAGGGAGAGACTGAGCTGCCAGCAGGCCAGGGGCAATAACTTCCAATGATTCCCCTGCGGGGGGTGTCTAGAATTGAAACATATTGCCAGAGTTATCCCAGGTGGAGTCAAAATGGTCGGCGCTTTATACCCACCTTAATCATTCACTGGATGTGGGCCACACTCAAAAGAGAATGAAGCTAGGGGAGGCATCCCTGAGGGAAGTGACCATACTCACAACACAAGGAGAGGCTCTTCCTTGCAAGGACAATCTAAGGGCTACATCTCCATGTCCACCATGTTTTTATATATTCACACAGAACTGTATAGTGGTGAAAATTAATGCCCTAAAGATAGCCAGTCAACTTGACTAAATCTCACAATACTAGGAAGAGGAAAAAGCAAAAAGAAAACAGTTTTCATTTTCTTGAAGTTCACAGACTAAAAAAAAAAAAAAAAAGGTTGAAACTACAAATATTAAAAAAAAAACTATGATATAAATGTTTAAGTAATTGTTACCTCTGGGGGCAGTGGTAAAAGATGGAGAAATAGGATTAGATAGAAACACACAAGAGTCTTCAAAAGTCCTGAAATTGTTCTGTTTGTAAGCTGGATGGCAAGTACATGGGGTTTTAAAAATTATTATTTCTTTTATATAATTGTTTTGATTTGAGAATCTTCTCTCATTTCATTTCAGAGAGAGATCATTTTTGCAAAGTTCAACCCAGAACCAGTCACAGATGCAGTAACTAAGTCTATTCTCCTAACTCTTTGACTCTGTTGACTAAAATGTTGTAGTCACCAAATTCCCATGGCTGATTTAGCCCAACTCCCTGGCTATTTTGCCACAAATGTCATTTCATGAGAATTACTAGACACCACTACAAAAATTTTTTTTGTATTTGTTGGTGTAGAAATAGTAAAGTTTCAAGTTTAGAAAGCAAACGTGAAGAAAGGAGACCTTAGTGTTCTAGTGATTCACAATTTATATTTGCAAAGCTGGGACTTTGAAAGGAAATAATTTGTACAAATGTTTAATAATGACCATACTAGAAATAAAGTAGAATTCCAGATTTCCCTGCCAGAGCAATAAATTACAGTAGAAGACCTGACTTATTTTTGTTTTGAGTTACTATCAGAGGTAACAATTCTTTTAGTATAACAGGGTTAATATCTTGCCTTAAAGGTGCACTCAAAGGGGACAATACTACCAGTGTCAGAAAAACTAGCATTTCCAGGTAAGTTTACCTTTGAAGATCCAGGGGTATCCTTTTTTCAGTGGAACATCATTATACATGTTTATAATTCTCCAGATGAGTGAAAGATACAAGGAAGCCAAAACTCCTAAGGCACACACAGCTTTTCAATTACAACATATCTTAACTGAAACACAAGACTGTGACATTTCACACTTCACCTAACTTCTCATTTGCAGTCACTTGCCGTTTAACAAAATAAGGTGAGATTTCAGAAAGAAAGGGCTACTTTATATTGGAAAACAGATTTGGAACTGCCTGTTGTATCTCAAAAAGTTAAAATCTTCAAAAAAGAAACATTTTAGATATTCAGGAGACTTTTAAAATTATCTTCTTCCTGCCCACAAAATGCAAAGCATTACTAATAATGACACTGCCAGCAAACTCAAACCAGAAGCTACACAAGACTCCTTACTTGGAACTAACAACATGCCAAAACAAGGAAATCTACAAACAATTGTGCTAAGGCATAAAAGAATGTAAAGATATGTTGTAGTAAACAAAAACTTTAACCAGAGTTTAGAAAAAAGGAGTTGTAGATATGGGTAATTTGACATCCCTCCCCCACAAAATATACTTGCAGTCTAGTGTTTAAGACAAAAAACAAAGAGAGGCAAAGCATAGCTAGCAGTGGTAGCATAGGCCTGTAATCCCAGAGATGCTGAAGCAGGAAGATCGCAAGTTCCAGACCAGCCTCAGCAACTTAGAGCCTCAACAATTTAGTGAAACTCTGTCTCAAAATAAAAATTAAAAAGGATTGGGGATGTAGTTCTAGCTCTGAGGTAAAGCAGACCTAGTTTCAATCCCAACACACACACACTCTCCCCCTCCCCCCCCCTCTCTCTCTGACAGCTCTTACATACAAGGCACCATTGATTTGAAGCTGAATTCTGAATTTAAACCCCAAGATGCTCCATTATTTACAAGCAAACTTTCTTCCCCACATTTTTTTACTGGTGCATTATAGTTGTTCAAAATGATAGGATTTGTATAAGCAAACAAGAAAAAAAAAACTGGGAAATCACAGACCTCCTCTTTAAAGAGGATCAATGCTAGGAAGGATCAAAAATCATTTTTCACGCTGTCACCAAAATCAAAAGACATTTGTGGCCTCAACTGTTGGGAATGTTTGTGCCAATTCACACTGAGGAAGCTAGGCCAGAAGGGGAGCATCACTGGTATCACTTGGCTTGGCGCCTGCTCAGGTGATAATGCTGGATGGCGGGTAGGAAGGGCTAGCAACAGCAGGCTCCAAGTTCACTCCTCTGTGCCAGAAAGCAAACTGCCGACCCCTCTCACTTCACATCCAGAGTGGCATGTCCCCTAAGTCACCTTACTTTGTTGAGAAATGCGACTCAAAAAATTACGAACTTTTATTAAAAAGGAAAAAAGAAAACGGAAATCAGTTCCCTTTAAGGTAATCAATGCCGAGAAGCCTCAAAAAAAAATCACACCTGGGGACAAACTGGGCAACAGTTGGATAGCTCTGTGCTGGTTTTCTTGGTAGCCACAATTTATCTTTCCGTTCTCAAAAAACACAACTTGCAGAAGCCTCGGGTCTTGACAGAGCCCCCACTCAGCTGATGGGAGCCTTCCTGGGCAGGTGAATGCTAATGGCAGAGAGAGGAGCCTCTCTCGCTCCGCAGCTGCTCCTCCACCCCCTCCACCACCAACCCCCCCTCCAAGTGATAACTCTAAGGGTACCACCAGTGTCCCCGGTCTGTCTGCAAAGGGTGAACTACTGCGGGGACCAAGCAAGTCAGACTCTAGGGACAGAGGCAGCGCACCCCAGCCGCGACCTGGCGGAGGCTCTGCGCCTCCAGCCCCAGCTTTGCCCAGCGACTGGCGGCGAGAGTGGCAAAGCCAAAGACGCCGGAGCTCCAGGGAGGGAGGCTCACCCTAGCGCACCAACCTCCACAGGCTGGCGGAGCCTCGGGGTGCTCCCCGTCGGGCTGGTGCCCCTCACTCCACCGCAGCCCGGGAGCCCTCTGGGTACCAACGACTCCGACTCTACTCCCCCAGTGGTCCCCCGCCCGGGTGACTCGCCCCGGTCACCTTCTGCCCCAGCGGCCGCTGACGCCGCCCGCTGCGCCCGCAGCCACGGGAGCACGTCCTTCCGGAGATCGAAGTCAGCGACCAGACGGACAGCCATCGCCCGCACGCGGCCCCGGGGCGGCTCTGGGGACCCGCGCCGCGGACATTCCCGGCCCTGGGTCACCACCTCGCCCTACCCTAGAGACCGCCCTCTTCTTCCTCTCCCCCGCCTCCCAGGCTGTCCGCTGCCGTCCGCTGCTTTCGGTTCTGGAGCGTCCCGGCCTGAGAAGCCCCGAGCACCGCCTCCTCCCGGCCAGCGGCCTGCACAGAGGAGGACGGAGGCGCCGGGACCAGGCCCGCCCGGGCCACTAGCCCTCGGCGCGCACCCTCCGAGTGGAGGACAGAGAAGCGGAGATTTGGGGGGTTTGTAGGTCCTGCCCAGGTGGCTAAACCAATGGTTTCCAAACGCTGCCGCACGTTGCTGTGGAGACTAGGCATTTTTCTACTTTAGCTCCAGGTGATTTCACTGAATAGCAAAGTTTGGAAACCACTAGGCTAGGGAGAGCTGCGTCACCTGAGGAGTTTCAAGGTCGCCACTGTGGCAGGGGCACTAGGGTCTTGGATTTCTTTAATTCAGCTCAGGGTGATGGTGTTTTATTCGTGGTGTTTAGGTAATAAGTGGCAGCTGGAAGCATGTGAAGAACGTGAATTTTTTTTTAAAGACAAGGTTTTGGTAAGTTGCTGAGGCTGGCCGAAAACTTGGAATCTTCCTTTCTCGGCCTCCTGGTGTGATTGTATTTTAAGAGAGACACTGGAAACTGTTAAATGCTTAACACAAACAGGGTCTTCTTTGCCTGTTAATCCCTACACTACACTCTTTTGAGGAAGCTAGATTGTCTAGATTCCCCTCTGAAGAGATTTGTTTTTAAGAAATGCTCTTATTTGTTCGGGAGCACCTGTCATCTTGGGCACCTTTCCACCCACACTTCCCTCTGCCTACAGATAAATCCCGTGTAACCATAATCTGGCCATCCTTTAGTTCTCTGTTGGTTTTAGCATGCAACATTGATAAATTCAGTGGTTGCTGTACTCTTGGCCCTGTCAGACCCAATCCATCCTAAACATCAATGTCAGATTATTGCTTTCCCTAAAACTGAGTTAGCCTCATGTTTACATGCAGAAGACTATAAATTACTGCCCCAGAATAAAGTGTCTTTCCACTCAGAACTTCAACTCCTAACTTACCTACTTCCCAGAAGTCCTCTGATTCCTCTCTCCTTCCTTCTAGCAAAATCTCCAGGTCTTTCCAGCCTAGCTCCACAGAACCTTCTCACAACTGCAGCCCACAGCAACCTTCCCAGAGCTAAACTTCTAGAGTGGTATAGGTAGAACACTTCACTTGACAATTACATAATGCCACGAACATTGAGTCTTAGGATAGCCCCTCTGCCCCTATGAAGAGCTAACCGCATTCTGAAGATGTTCAACAATTATGGAAGAATGAGCAAATAATAATAGACTAAAGAATTACTTTTTCATTTGTTTCTCAAAGTTGGAGTCTGAAAACTACCTGCACTGAAGTTATCTGAGGCACTATCTTATGATGCAGATTCCTGGTGTCTAGTCTAGACTAGGGCAAGGCCCAGAAATGTACATTTTAGCCAGAGCCTCAGTACCTTAGTCTTGTTATGATTCAAAAACAACTCAATAAATGTAAAAAATAATAATAATAAAATCTAGAGACACATTTCTCCGTGGGGTTACTGGATGAACTCAGATAAAATTGCATGGACATTTAAGAGAAATCTAATACTAATATTAGCTATGAATAAAAGGATACACCTGGTGTAGTGGCACATGCCTGTAATCCCAGCAACTCAGGATGCTGAAGCAGGAGGAGCACAAGTTTGAGGCCAACCTCAGCAACTTAGCAAGACCCTGTCTTAAAATAAAAAGGACTGGTGGTATAGCTCAGCGATAGAGGGCCTCTGATTCAATCCCTGGTACCAATACATAAATAAATAAAAACTTAAAAGGGGACACTAAAGACATGAGAAGCTACTATTTCATACCAAATGCAACTCGAGGACTTTGTCAAACAGAAATGTCCTCACTTGCCAATTTTTTAAATTCGCTGTTTTCACTAGTTTTTGCAGTTAATTTCTATTTTTGTCAAGCAAGACCAATTTGATAGTCATGCAATAATGATATAATTAATGATATAAATTCTCTTTAAAATTAATTTAAGTTTAAAAAATTGTAAAGAAGTTCCAAAATAGTAAACAAGACAGCAGAAAGAGGGGCTCAGGTTGTGGCTCAGTGGTAGAGCGCTCACCTGACATGTATGAGGCATTGGATCCGATCCTCAGCGCCACATAAAAAATAAATAAATAAAACAAAAGTATTGTGTCCATCTACAACAACAACAAAATCTTAAAAATAAGATAGCAGAAAGATGTGACCCAGATCACAAAGATGCTATATGAGTGGCAGAACTTTGGCGATTAGAAAAGAGACTGATGAAGGATTACTTAACTACCTTAAAGTTGGTGAAGGGTTAATAGAAATATGCTGATGGGATATGTCAGCTCTAGTGAAGGCAAACTAGAGACTGTAATGTCCTTAAAAGGCTGCCTTTTAGAGTCATGTAAGACTGGAACAGGCTTTTAGATGAAATAAAAAAATTCTGCTTTGGGGGAATTTTAAGAGTAAACCATCATCTTCCTTAAAATCAGACAAGAAAGAAGTAAAGACTTAAAGATCATGTAATCAAGGAAGGCCCTGCTGAAAAAGGTGTCTGGTTTGCATGGTACCAGGTCGTAGCTTCTGACTGCTGGTGTTGATGTTGGTCAGCATCAGCAGACAGATTAGAGGAAGCTTCAGTTACTTTCCAGCTGAGGTTTCTAAGTATTGAAATACCACAGATTGGGATGGAATTCTTGTACCACGTTGAGAAATCACCAAACTTGGATCTTACACTTTTCTTAAAATAGCACAAATTCTTTGTAAGTTCATCTTGAATTTTTAGATTTGAAGGAAATGGCTGGGTATGGTGGTGCATGCCCATAATCTGAGCAATTTGGGAGGCTGAGACAGAAGGATCCCATGTTTGAGGCCAGCCTCAGCAATGTAGTGAGACCCTGTCTCAAAAAGTTAAAAGGTCTGGGGATGTAGCTCAGTGGTAAATCACCCCTGGGTTTAATCCCCAGTACCACTAAATAAATAAATAAATAGACTTGAAGGAAATGAAAAGAATTTGGAAATGTGGATTAAGTGAACCATTTGTATGTGGAAGAGAGTTTATTTTACAAAGGTATTAAAATTTGAGGTTTCCCTCCACTCTACTGACCATTCCTAGAAATGAAAAAAGCATAGTTTGATTTTTTTCCACTTTTTAAAAGTACATTTTTTGAAAGTTTTCTTTTTATATTCTTCCCACATATTTTTATTGGCTCATTATAGTTGTACATACTGATGAGATTATAGTTTTTTTAAAGAAGTTAAAGAATTGCCTATTTAACAAAAATCTAACTCCCACCAATTAACTGTAAGTGCCTAAGGACTAGAGATATTAGGTTTGAAATCTGTATTCAGTGGAGCAATGAATGTCTAAAACATTATTTTACATTATTTTTTACTAACAAACTCATGTGTTTTGAAATTGGAAGTGAATAGACTAAAAGGTAAACCCTGCTTTTGGAGACTATGGCTTTGAAATTGGGATAGCCAAGAATTTTTTCTTGTAATTAATAGAAATTACCCCAAAACCCATTAGAATCTAAATAGTACAGGATAAGCAAGTTTCTTTTACACTTTCCAGGAAATAATTGTTTTAAGCTTCGTAACAAAGACGCAACAGCATTTAGAGTGAGGTGTAAATATTGAGAATGCTGCTTCCCTAGAGTAATTCATTTTTAATAGAAATATTTAATATATTTTTAAAGAAATAATTTTCATGTGGTGATCATTATGACTTCCCAAAGTCCATTTGCACCAATGAGGTAGTAACAATTCTGGCCAGTGATTGATTTAGGAATGGACACATGCATCAGTTAGGTCTATGTTTACCAGAAGTTAATAGAAACCCAAATTAACTGTAAATTAAACACAGAAGGTTTTATTGTCCCACCCATTTTGAAGGAGATAGTCCAAAGTTCAGGGGCAGGTTCCTGAAGTCACCAGGGACCCAAGATTTTCCAGGGTTTTGCTCCACCAGACCTTGAGTGTACCTTTGTCCTCATGTCCAAGGTGACTGCAAAAGCTTTAGCCATGGAGTTTGCATTCCAAAAGCGAAAATGGAAAAAGAGGGATAAAAGGAAAGTACTGCCTATCTTTTAGGTATACTTCCCAAAAGTTCTACACTACATGTCTACTTATATTTTATTGACCAGAATTCAGCCGTTAGCCAAATGTAGTTTCAAAGGAGGTAAAGAAATATACCTGACCAGTGATATACTCAGACAAAAATCAGGACAATGTCATTAAATAAGATGAAGAAATGGTTACTGGGTCAGTGTCACATGCACGTAATCCCAGTGGCTTGGAAGGCTGAGGCAGGAGAAATCTTGAGTTCAAAGCCAGCCTGAGCAAAAGTGAGGCACTAAACAACTCATGAGACCCTGTCTCTAAATAAAATACAAAATAAGGACTGGGGTGTGGCTCAGTGTGGCTCAGTGGTAGAGTGCCTCTGAGTTCAATCCCTGGTACAAAAAAAAAAAAAAAAGAGGAAAATGGATATTCTGAAGCAACTAAAGATCTCTATTATGGGAGGAAACTTAATTTTGACTAATGGGCTGTGAAGAAAACTCTGCTGTGGTATTTCTGGGAGAGATTTCTCTATTTCTAAAAAAGAAGACATGGAAAAAGATGGTCCCTTTCTGTCTTTAAATATGTTGAGATCTGGATCTGATTCCTAGAACTTCAGCCATCCTCAGACTAGACATCAACAACTAGACTGAAATAGTGGATCGATGGAGTCAGAGCTCAGAGAGCAGCAGAAAAGAGGAACCCTGACATGTCATTGTTGGAGCCAGCCCTACTTTCAGCATTTTTAATAAGAGAGATAAATTTCCCTATTGTTTAAACAACATTGAGTCAGAATTTTATTTCACTTGCAACCAAGGGTCTTCATTTTAAGGGGCAATATTTCAAAATTTCAGACATAAAACAAAGAGCTCTGGGATCATAAGAAGTTTTTGTGCTAAATTTTGTTTTTTTAGCCCAAAAACTTATTAGGACACAGTATTCTGTATTTTAAAATTGTT